TAGTAGTAGTAGTAGCAGTAGTGGAACTAGTAGTAGTGGAACTAGTAGTAGCAGCAGCAGCAGCAGCAGCAGCAGGAGCAGCAGCAGCAGCAGCAGATGATGCTTGAACATTAAAAGGTCTGCCAGGAGGTAGCTGTAGAGGCAAAACACATAGATAGTTTGTACTGTGAACCTGAGGGTACAATTTGGAGCATGAAGGAAGTATTCCCAAGACCCCGCTGCAACATTTTACATGCGATCATGTTGCAAATCGTTGGTGTGGAACCCAACCCAAACCGATATACCTACAACTCACGACCTCGTTTGTTGCCCGAATTCATTGTCCTCAGCTGATTTCTATCTTATATAGAGGCGGCATGAGTACTTGATTTCCAGCATGCTCTGATTGCTGCTATCACTTTCCTCCCACTATTGCAGCCACTACTATCATTTCTATGATGATTAGCACGGCCATCAAAAATACCCAATAACACTCCCATCAGCAGAAGCTGAGGAAGTCACATGCCAAGCGCCGTCTCCAGTCCTAACAGTGGGATGCTTGGAACTGGTACGAGCTAAGGATTAGGGGTTTGACGGTTTAAGGTAGGTTTCCGTGACCGTATTATGCATGCCCGGCTGAGGCGGCGTGAAGTGAGTTCGGCGCTCTGTGGCGACCCTTGCACGGTAATTTAACGGATCTTAGTGTTGCCAATCTGATAACTCGTTTATTGTTCATACACTTCCAGAAGAAGGTATGAGTCTTCGGCTCCAAGTGCAGGCATGGAAGCTTTCCGGCTTGCCACGACCTTCAATCCACAGTACATGTTGGACTGTGAGTAACACGTGTGTGTCTGTGTGTGCACACTACACGGTTGAACGACTTCACCTGCTGACGGTAGACTTGTGGGTCCTACCATGTGTTATCTGTAGGGTGCTGCAGTATGCTGCGTGTGAAACCGCGAATACGGCTAGCCAAACATATGTACAAGCACTGGAAGGATTCGGAGCGTGTCTGCGTGAACGCAGGTAAGTTAGTGGCTAAGTCTTCTAAGTATGTACCTACGTATCTATGTAATTTGTTTATAGATGTGGTACACGCAAACTCGCCAGCCAATACCCTGGGGCTTGTGTGGACCTCACTTACTGTACTTGGTACTGACTTTGGGGTTAGCAGTGGCTGCAGGGCTTATAGGGTATGGAGAGTTTGCATTTTACTGGGTTCGGAGCTTTGTGCTTTGAACTTCCCGCGCTCAGAATCAGTGATGAAGTTACACCCTACAACTCTAAACCCCCAAATCTGAAAATCTGAAACCCTAAGCCCGGAAAGTTTCAGACCACACCATTCCGAAATCCTAAGCCAAAGCTTCTGCGACCGAACTTGAAGTTCCGGTGCCGCTGGTGCCGAAGCTTGCGAATCCTTCCGAACTTGGTCTTACCACAAGCTTCCTAAAACGACTGGGGTTTGGGGCTGTTGAGAATGTGTGTGTGTGTAGAAGATGTGCATCTTGCTTAACACCTAGGGGTGCATGAAAGTCGGATTCCAGGAGCTTCTACAGGCTTCGATCTGCTCACGACATGAAGGGTTTCTAAGGGCTTTCAGTCTATAGTCTCTAGAGAAATTTTAAGACTTGCGAACCCGTGTTCTGTGGCTTTAGGCTCTCAAAGAAACTGGTTCCTTGTTGGGGCCATATTAAACATGATCATCTTTAAATCCTTGTTGAGGTTTTATTATGATAAAAATGTAAAATCCAACAAGGACCCAGGAAAGGCCTGCTACCTGCTAACTTCAGGCTTGAGAGCTTGTCGGGCATCCTGAAACCCCAAACCCCAGCACTGGAAGGCTACATTACATTGCTCCAAAACCCTTTAGCTTTGGGGTTTTAGGGTAAAGGGGCTTAGGGTTTTAGGGTTAAGGGTTTTGGGGTTAAGGGTTTTGGGTGTAGGCTGCTCTGATATTGAAGAGCCCTACATTAGAGCCAGCATTCAACTGGCATGTTGGCGCTGTGGCGAGCATCTCAATTTGGACGCAAGCTGGCTTAGGACAGCTTAATATAGAAGCCTGGATAGTTAATTGGAATGCTCCGTAAATTTCTCTATCATTATTACGTATAGTATAACACACCCCAAAGTCCTAACCTAATTTCTGATGCCACCTTCCTATTCCAATAATCATTAAGGCAAGAACGCCCAAGCCTTCAACAATGGGCACACTCTCCTCTAGAGCTTATGGGGTTTCAAGCTCCAGACGCCCATGCAACCCGATGGCCCTGCAAGGGATCGAAAGTTCAGCAGCTTCGCTGCTTCGAAACTTCGATGGCAACAAGGAGTTGTAGTGAAGGGACGGTATGCAATGCTGTTTGGCTATTCCGAAAGCTGCCGGATCCCGAGTAAGATTCGGCGGAACCTTCTGCTGTCCCTGCTGCACACTATACCGCACAAACCCAATGTCCTACATACAAACACTACCATTGACTATTCATCTCAGTTTCAATCTAGATGATTAGACCGAAGCCCTGAGCCCTAATCTCAAACCCCCGGGAGCCACAGGTGCTGAGGAAGCTGCTCGGTCAGTTCCACCCACAGATAGGATGGATCCTTGCGCGAGAGCCGGCTTTGGGAGTGGAGGGGTCCCGAGCCTTACAGGGTTTAAGTTTAGGGCCGAATGTTTCAACCCACAACCAAGCACACATCGCACCAGTGCAAGCCAATTCTTCGGTTGATATACTTGTACAGTAGGCTAGGCAGAGCACTACGCGCGAAAGCAGCTGGAGTTCATGCAAGGGCTTAAACATGAAAGGAACTGTCGAAGGCCCACGATTGATGTATGTGTCTCTACATCGACATTTACCTCTGTAATGTTTCTATATCTCTACATTCTGCATACACCTAAGGGTTTTATTGTTTGTAAGACCGATATCTGACTGTCACAACATTGTTGTTTCGCGGAACCGGTTCTGGACTCGAAGAGGGCAAGGACGAGATCGGATCCTTGCGCTGGTGTGGCACAGCCTCGTTTCGGAGTGTGCAGATGTAGCAAGCCTACATACCAAACCCTAAAACTAGAGACCCCAACCGCAAACGCGTAGTCCACAGCCAGAATTTCGGCCTGTTCAAGGATTTATTGCAAACGCCAAAGGTGTCTGTGGAGCATGTCTCACGGCTTGCCTACAAGGCAAAAAGGAGGTTTGTCTTTCGACAGCATTGTAGACTTTGCAAAGCTGAGGCGTACCCAGAGTTCAAACCACCCCGAAACAAGCAATCCGCTCGTAACTCAAATCACAGCCTTGAGTTGGATCTCCGCCCTCCCAAGGACGAGACACTAAACCAGAAGGTCCGAACCTGGCAGTCTACTCCTAATTACGACCCCAAGTTTACCTCCTTTAAGACCTCTTTTTTGACTGAAACTCCTAGGGTCAACACACAGAGCCAAAAAGTCTATCAAGCCTCACATGCCTTTCCATGCGAATTCTGGAAAAGCCCTTCTGAGAGAGTCTAGCCGGGTCCTCCAGATCTCCAGCATGCGGAAAGGCCTTCTTCGTAATTTTCGCTGGGTCCAGTTTCGGAACGCTCCTTGGTGTACGGAATATACATATACATACATAATTACAAACATATGTACACAAACACACACTTACCTGCCTACCTGCCTACCTGCCTACCTGCCTGCCTGCCTGCCTACCTGCCGACCTGCCTACCTGCCTACCTACCTGCTTGCCCACCTGCCGACCTGCCTACATGCCTGCCTGCCTACCTGCCTACCTACCTACCTTCCTGCCTACCTGCCTACCTTCCTAGCTTCCTACCTTCCTGCCTTCCTGCCTTCCTACCTACCTACCTGCCTACCTACCTTCCTACCTTCCTACCTTCCTACCGTCCTGCCTTCCTACCCTCCTACATTCCTACCTTCTAACCTTCCTACCTTCCTGCCTTTTCCTCTTTAGTGACCGACCTACCTACCTACCTACCTACCTACCTACCGATACCGGGCAACCTAGCCAGCGAGCTGGCTAACTACCTATGTACCTACTTGCCTGCCTACCTACCAACCCACTCATACTTACATACATGCAGACATACATACAGACATGCATACACACCTACGTACATACACACATACAGACATGCCTACATACATGGACAGGTATAGGTATTCAGGGTTGCACCCACATGCGTATGTGTGCATGTGTGTGAACATGGCCATGCAAGTGAGTGTGCATGAGCATGTGTATGTTAGATGCATGTGAATATGTATTTGCCTTTTGTATTTGTACTTTCATTTGTTGTAGTCATCTGTATATGTATGCATGTGCATGCGAATGGGTATCCACCTGTTCGCACACACACACAGACATATATATATATATGTATGTATGTATGTATGTATGTATGTATATATATGTAATGTAATGTAATGTAATGTAATGTAATGGAATGGAATGGAATGGAATGTAATGGAATGTAATGGAATGTAATGTATGTATACATACATACATACATACGTACATACATACATACATACATACATACATACACGGGGAAATAGTCGGTAACCGTGGGAATTCATATTTCGGTGCAACCATAATTCAAAACATACGAGCATGCAGCTGTTATTCATGCAAGCTTTAGTGGCAGGGGTGCTTGTGTTTGCATAGCTCCCATAACTTCAATGGGGGTGTCGCAACCCCTTCTTGCCAAGTGTCAAGTACGATTGGAGGAAATCCCGGAGGCGCAGAACGAACGCCTGCTCTTGCCGAGGTGTAGGGTTTGGGAATTCCTGTTTGTGGCCTGACCATGGATCATGGGCTTTCCGATTGTAATCACTGTCACACCCGGCCTTGCCAAGCTTGGCAGAACCGAACTGCAAAAGCACTGACCATACATCCACAGGCAGTCGAGGTGTTTCTGAAGAAACAACCCCCTGTTCGTCGGTATCTCAAACTCCTAGCAGACACAAACACCACAGCTTCGTCCTGCCAGCAGATCAGACAGCGCCTCAAAGATGGCAAACTACAGCCTAAACTGTGGAAAGAGCCGCAAACCTTTAGCCATCCAATGCCTACACCTGCCAAAGTCTTAATTAAGGCTGACGGATGTAGAATGGCCTGCATCACAGAGACTGTTACTTCGGGATGTCTTTGGTGCGGCCGAGATGCCCGACTCGGCCGCAAATGAGCATGTTTCGGTTCGGCAAGCTTAATCTGCGAGCACTATGCTACCAAAGCCCGCCAAGATATTGCACAACGCAGTGTGAGCTGCGAGTTGAAGCTGAATCTGACTCCCTGATTTCATGGACTGGTTGGTCCGTATGGGCTCGGCCCTCGACTGTTATGCATGGTCAGAACTTTAAACCCAAGCTCGCAGCCTTGCAAATGTTGGCTTGGAAGGGCTCGACGCAGACGCTGGTGTTCCAAGGTGCTGGGATGGATCTGATGCCTGAGGACCGGGGTGGCGCTCTGGGGTGAGTGTTTGAAGTGGGCCTCAGTCTATGACTACAGATGTTTGGGCTTGAAGGGTTGGGAACAACTGGAACCTTGCAACGGCCTCGAGACTGAGGTCATGGAGTTATCACAGCGGCTGGAAGGATCAAGCCCCGCATCATCCAACGCTCGGCTGGACATTGTTCTGCCATGCCCATGTCTGCAAAACACTGTCCCCACCTTTCTTGCCCCACGGCGAGTTTCGAACCTCCTGCGTGTGCTGCGAGGACTGGAAAGGTCAATGCATTGTGTTAACCAACAGCTGCTTCAGATGTGTATGACATCGGTGCAGAAAGAAGCTGTGTCTTGATTCTTGCGCAAGGACCTCAATGCTTCGAACAGTGCTCTCTTCCCGCGCAACACTTACATTGTGTGCTCGTAAAGGCAAGTGTATCTGTAATTGTTTCAATGTGTGCAGGTGCACGTATGTATGTATGTATGTATGTATGTATGTATGCTTGTTTGTTTGCAGCTGCATGCATGCACAGATGGATGGATGGCTGTACGCAGGAATGCATGTATGTATGCAGGTGATTGTGTGTATCTCTGTGTGTATGCATGCACGTGCACACTGTGTGTTTGCATATTTTCGTTTATTTCCGTTTGCATGACTTCATGATACGTCATGAATGCATACATACGGGCAGACATTGACAAACAGATTAAGACAGAGAGAAAGCAAGAACGGCACAAATCAAGCAATGAATAAAGACAGAAGGAAAAATGAATGCAAAGGACAGAAACATGTACAGACAGAAAGATTTGCATGAAGAATCAAACATGGGACATGAACCAACTACAGAAATATGGAACTACACGAAGAAACAACAAACGAACAACGTAGAACCCAAGAGAGAAGACTGCAGTTACATCAAACTCAAACATCGGCTTCGAATTGCTCCTCTTCGGTCATGTCTTTGCGATGCAGTCTGGCCGCACCTTGCTTCTTGGGGGCGCGGGGGGGCCTGATAGGCCGAAGCGGGCAAATATGAGCTGGCAGTAAGGGACATGACTCGGCATCTGCAATCATTTGTGTTGCAGAGCAGGAGGACTGTGAGGGAGTGGAATCGCCACAGAACCTTGACATCTTGTGCTCGCCTTCTAGATTCCATGGAAGCTGCTGACAACCGCAGTCTTGCGAGTCCGGTAGTCACAGCTTGTGCTGCTGCGGCATGTACTCCTAAATAGGGTAACATGAATACCCCGGAACCGCCTTTGCCAGTCGGGCCTCCGCCAGGTTGTTGCGGGCATTTCTTCTTCGCGCGCCAAGGCACGCAGTTGAAACACGGGCCGCATCTTGTCCTGGCCCGCTTTCTCGAACTTTTCGGGGCCTCGGCGTCGGATCGAGGTGGCTGCAGGCAACGAATGTCAGAGTGCACAACCAGTCTCCAACTTTCGAGGCGAAAAGCGTACTGATCAGGCGGAGCATCCCGGAGCCTGAAAACTGAAACTGTAAACCCAACTCAAAGCCTTCACGGAAACCCGTCATTCTCACGCAGCTTACAGTCAGATGTCCAGAAAGTCGAGCTGCAATGATGACTTTTTTATCGAAACCAGCGAAAAGGAATGCCAACCTGTAGGACATCCTCCCCAAACCCCCACCCCTGAACCCTGTCATCCTGCGTGGAAGGTGCTCATTCGCTTCCGATCGAAAGCGAGAAAGGAACGCAGCTCCGGACCCTCCTGTCAAACAGGTGTAAGCTTGTAGTTGCTACTCAAACCCTTCGCCAACCCAAACTGCAGCCACTAGCAACAAAGCACCCCACCGACCATGTCGAACAACATCATACTTCATCACCCTAGGAGCCCACTCGTCATCTTTAACAGCAACTCACGGCGGGTTCGGATGGGCATCGAAGGTGCCTGTCAGCCACATGATGGAGTGTATTCGCAGAGCAACCAGCAAAAGCAAATGAAAGCCCTATAGTGCCTGAACCCTGCATCGCAGAAGCCTTATACAAAGTTGCCCTGAACCGCTGAAATCTAGGACTCTAAGCCTCCCTCTCAAGACTGTAAGCTCCAAAACTCACATCTACTAGTAAATTCATGCAGAACTAATAAACGTGTCCTTATAGAAGCCTGAACAGGGAACCTTATGATAAAAAGCTGCAAAGCCCTGAACCCAAACCCTAAATTCTAATCCCCAAACTTCAACACAAAACCTCCCGCAACCCTAAACCCTAAACCGTTCACTCCTTTGGAGCGGCGGAGAAAACTGCGCTGGCTTCTGTGACCTGACCCGAAGCTGCAGAGTCTGTAGCACGTAGCAATTGTTCCTAAATACCATAAGCCTTATAGCTTTATAGTACCCTCATGCATGCCCTGAAAGAACTCTTCCCCGACAGAACTCTGAAAGAAACCCTTAGCCTCCGTGTAGTTCCTTTTCTGGTTGACGCATTGTTGGTTAGGACCTATACTATAAACTTGCCCTAAGGCCGCGGAATGGGTTCCGGGGACTTTATATATATATATACATACATACACACATATAGTGAACCCAGAAAGCTGGAACATGGAATTAGGACGATGGGTGTTGGGACTCCCTATACATAATTTAAAGGGTTGGATTACTGGCGGCTTCGCTCTTTCTGTTGCACATAGACAAACAAATCTTATACGTAGACGTAATCAAGCAAACAATCAAACTGCTAGATGTACATAGGTGTGCAAACATGTATATTTGCGTTTTTGTTGTTTGTTACATGCACACAAACTAGAAACCTACATGAACCTAGGGTTTTGGGGATTGTGAATTGTTAGCTTCTGAGGTTTCCGGATTGAGCCTTTTGGCTTGAGGGCTTCATGGCTTTACAGTGCAGGTTCATGTCATGGGCAGGTACGGGGGCATGCATCCACAAAGGTGTATTTGCATATTCACACACATGTCCATCGACCCATGTCCAACGCATGAAGTGTGTACATACATGTGCAAACAGCTATATGGACTCACATGAAAGTCGTGCACGCAGCGCGCAGGCTGCACAGATGAAAGCTGCACAAAACGAAGCAACGAATCTGAGTACCGAGAGAGACAGAATGGACGCACAGGTGGAGCAAAATAACTGGAGACATGCATGCATTTGTGCCCGGGGGCGAAGGTATCTTTACAGTCACTGGACCAGGGCTATGAGGAAGTCCTAGGCTCAGCTAACCGCCATGGCATTCCGAGAGCCGAGTGCCCCGAACTGGCTTTCGGGGATTGGGTTCCGGCAAAAACCTATTATTATTACTATTATTATTATTCTTATTATTAGTCTTATTATTCTTCTTATTATTACTAGTATTACGGCTAGAAAAAAGTGCCCATGGCATTCAGGATCATCATCCACAATAGTGCAAATGCAATGGCTCATCCTCAGCCATCAAGACTGGCAAGAAGCTATGTACCGTCTCGCCGTTTCCACAGTCGTTTGTCGCAATGTCTCTTCTCTCACGTTGGAGCACCTGCCCTGCAAGGCCAGCAGTCTAAATGAAATGGCTTTTGCGCCCATAACGAGACTTACACCAATGCCCAGTGACACACCAACGGCAAACCGAAACAGAACACCAACATCGCTTCGATACTTCCCCTTGCAGACAGGACGCCTGAAGACTGAAGGCCGGGTGCTTGTGCAGCCTCAGATACTCATTCGAGAACATCCTAACGTCAAACTACGACTGCGACTGCAGCGACGAAGACCACGGATTATTACGGCAGCCTCTTCGGCCTATTCCTACTGAGACGACGACGACGACGACTACTACTGCTACTACCAAAACACCTGCCTACTACGACGACTCCGACTACAACTCTACGACTAAACGACGAGGACGATGGCTCCTGCTTCTAATGCGACACGTGAGAAACGTCATATTAGGACTGTACAGGATGGACGGGAATAAGCCTGCCCGGGAAAATTGGGAACAAAAACCTTCTAGGAAGGGTAAACACCCAACATAACCCAACTCTGCATGCACGCTCGCGTGCGGCCATGCGAAGAAAGGGTTCAGCAGCCAGCAGCAATGGCAACAGTAGCAGTCGGGGGAAGAAAAAAAGTGCCCTTCTTTTCGGTCCGAGCTGCAGGTCGCCAATTGGTGCTGAGATGACCACAATCGGAGGAACCAGTGATGACCACAGCCTGGTGTTTGCTGAATTTCGTGCTTGGGCACTTTGGGTGGTCAGCCAAAAATCATTGACCTCTAGGCCTTCAAGTTTTCAGCAGTTTCTCCATCCGAAGTCAGGCTGATGGCTCTCCAGGTCGGTATAGAGCCCCTTTCGTAAACTCGGAAGCCCGCTACATTGAAACCCCAACTCCTAATTGCAAGCACAAGAATGTAGAGTCAAACCGAACCGCTACTGCTGCTTGAACATCCGAAGCCAAATGCACAGTTGAACTTCTCGTGGCCTGTACGGTGCACCTCTTACGCCCATGGACTGCACGTGGAGCATCCTTGGCTTAGGCAAGCTGCTGCTTCAAAACCACGGCGACCGACGGTTAATAGTAAATTAAAATTATGTCGTCCAAATTACACCGTGCATACAGATGTAGGGTGAAAGAGAGAGAGAGAGAGAGAGATAGATACATATATATATATACATATCCATGGAGCCTCAAAATGATTCTGAAATTCTCCTAGCCTGGTGAGCATTATACTGAAGACGTAGCCTAGGGTTTCGGTGGGATAATCCCTTTTGAGCAGAACGCTTGTCGCGGGCCCACCTTCTCTGTTTCAAACCTGTCGCGCTCACATCATCAAGTTGTTCCTTGTCGAGCAAGAGTCTACCCTAAACCCTAAACCATGCCACGAAAATCAGCTCTTGTTATTCAGGTCGCTTCTCAGGCCCTCTTTAAGCACTACCATGAACAACAGAACCTACGTCGTGGTGGGCCGCCGAGAATTCTTTGCAAATCAGGGTCTCTAGTCGGACCTTACCCTTTTTTCCCGAATGCGTAGCAGAAGGGTTCCCGTTTTAAAGGTTGGGGTCCAGGGGTCCAATCGTTGACCAGCGATCGTTGCTAAAG